CTTTAATCCGCTCCATGCTTCTTGAGGAGTAAGACCTTGAACACTTTTGGTTGAAGCACAATTCAAGAGATAAACAGCACATGTCATCGCATCTCCCCAAAATTCATTTGGAAGATTCTTGACCTTCAACATACTTCTTGCAAGCTCCATTATTGTTTTGTTATTTCTCTCTGCAACACCATTTTGTTGAGGAGTTCTTCGAACATTCTTTTGATGCTTGATTCCATTTTCCTTCAAAAAATCTTCAAAAGCAATATATTATCCTCCACGATAAGAACGCAACATCTTCAATTTTAAGTTGCTTTCATTTTCCACCATTGCCTTGACTGTTTTGAAATACTCGAAAGTACAACTTTTTTCTTTTAACAGGTAAATCTATGTCTTCCGACTATAGTCATCAATAAATGTGAGAAAATAACGATTACCTCCAAGCGTAGTAGTTCGCATAGGTCCACATAAGTATGTATGGATTAGCTCGAGAGATTTTGATGCTCTCCAAGAACCTCCTGTCGGAAATGGATTTCGATGATGCTTTCCCAAAATACATGCTTCGCAAAGTTGGTCTTCCCTTTTAACATTTGGCATTCCTCTCACCATATGTTGTTGACACATGTTAGACAAAGTGTCAAAACTCAGGTGCCCATACCGATAATGCCAAAGTCATGAAGAGTCTTTTACTGAAGTTTCAAACAAAGAAGCTTCTCAAAGTACGTTTTGATTGGAAACATTTTGTTGTGAGTCATCTGTACCTTTGTTATGAGACTTCCATTCTTCGCTCTGATCTCACATATGTTATCCATGAAGATAACATCATGTCTCTTCAATAGAAGCTTCCCAATACTTAAAAGATTGTGTTTGAGTCCTGGAACATAATACACATCTGTGATTCTTTTTGCTCCATTTTTTTTCTTCACGATAATATCTCCTTTTCCATTGACTGCGAGCTTCTTGTTGTCACCAGCCTTCACTTCATTTTGAAGAGATTCATCCAAAGTTACAAAAATATCCTTTCTTCCTGTCATGTGATTACTGCAACCACTATCAAGATACCATATATCTTCAGTGCTTGTTTCTTGGACATTAAATGTGAAGAAAATAAGGCTTTGATCATCATTTTGTTGTTCATGCATCAGAGTGGTCTCTGCCCGATTAAAATTAGTCTTTTTAGACCAACAGTCTGCTTGAAAGTGCCCGTAGCGTCCACAATTGAAGCATTGTATGTAAGAAAAATCTCCACGACCTCCACCCCTACTTCCTCTGCTTGAACTTCTTCCCCTTCCTCTATTTGAAGAAGTTTGATTATCTCTCCTCTCTGACTCAAAACTTTTGAAGTCATTGGACCTCCTAGTTCCTCGACCACTGCGTCCACCTCTACTTTCATTAAATCTTCCTCTATAAGAAGTTTTCATATGAAAAGCTTCTTCTGAAAGAGTAGAATCAAATCGCTTCAATCTAAGCTCATGAGATTGGAGAGATCCCATTAAGCTATTTATGGAAAGTGTTGACAAATCTTTGGACTCTTCGATTGCTACTACAATGTGCTCATATCTTCTGGTCATGCTTCTAAGGATCTTTTCTACCACTCTTTGATCTTCAATTGTATCTCCATTTGATCTCAATTGATTAACAATAGAGAGAACACGATTGAAAAATTCTTCAACAGTTTCAGCTTCTTTCATTCGAATGGTATCAAATTCAGCTCGAAGGGCTTGCAATCTTACCACTTTTACCTTTTCCTCTCCTTCATACAAACTCTGCAATTCATCCCATGTTGCTTTAGCAATTGAGACTCCTGAAATTCTTTCAAAGATATTTTCATCTACAGCTTGGTAGATAAAAAAACGTCTTTTTTCTTTCTTTCTAGCATCTCTCAACTCGTTGAGTTGTTGTTGTGAAAGACTATCCTCACCTTCTGGCTCCAAATATCCTCTTTCAACAATATCCCAAAGCTCTTGAGATCCATAAAGAACGTTCATTTGTTGACTCCACCGTCTATAGTTCTTTCCTTCAAAACGAGGAAGTTGAGGTTGCAACATGTTGTTGGATGACATCTTTTAAACTTGGCTCTGATACCACTTTGTTGGAAACGTTGATAAACCCTTACTAAAATTCACTCTAAATCTCACCAACTTTGAAGAGAATAAATTTGTTCTCTTATGAAATTCAAGAACATACACGAGAAGAATATTGTTCTCTTTTCTTTCTTGATTGAAATGTTTCAATTTGCTTCTTTCTTGCTTGGTTACAAATGAGAGAAATGATCCCTTTATATAACATCCAAGAGACACATCTAAAAGACACAAAATATATGGATACAATGTATACATAATATTGATCATGTGTATACATTCTATTCATGTATCTTAATACATTAACTTACATGAATCTAATAATTCATGTATCTAGAAATTCATGTATGTGTCTAGAAATTGAATCTAGCTTAAATTCTAACAACAAAACCCTTAAGCTCGTCCCTCATTATTTTTCATCTTCTTTCTTCAACAGCTCCAAAACAAACTTGAATCTCCATCAAATTTCCAACATAAAACCCACAAATAAAACTTACCTTCTCTGAAAAGTCCTTAATTAAGGCTATAAATTCAAACTTTCTTCCCAACAATCCCTTAAACATAACAATAACAACCCACAAATTCACAAATTCAAAGGGTTTCTTAAAGAAGAACCCCCATAAAAGCGTTCCAACTTTCAATTTTTCCTCGTTTATTTCCCCAAATTTCTTAATCACAAACATAGATTACTTACCAAATTTGAAACTCCATAACTTAGCTATGAAACACCTTGAATTCTCTCCTCTCTTCAAGCTTCAATTTCTTCCTCTTCTCCTCTGTTTTGAAAACCCTCTTCCACTTCTTTTCTTTCCTTTTCTTTTCTTTTTGGTTCTTTTCTTTTCTTTCCTTATTTCTTTCCTTTTCATTTCTCTCATTTGTTTTACTACTTAACAAAGGTCACACACACTAAAAAAAACCACTATACATGTCCCACCAAATTCTTTTCTTTCCTTATTTTTTCTTTTAATAAAAGTTGAAAGACCATTATGCCCTTCAAACTTTAACTCCAAAAATTCTAATTTTTTTCCTCCCTTTTTATGCACTAAATGACGATCATATCCTTATAACTTAAGGGCTTAATTTTTTACAACTTAAAGCTTAAGGGTGTAATTGTAACAATCGTTATAGTTCAGGGGTGGTTTTTGCAATTTGCCATTTTTTTAAATAGAAATCTTCATGCCCCGCTCTTTGCGAATCGCATCGCATTGGCCCCATTAGACGGGCATCAGTATTCCCATGTTTTTTTGTGGCAATGTATGATAACTAAGCATCTTTGAGATGCCTAGGTATCCTAAGATCCTCATATAGGAGGCATCCAACGTATTTTTATGCCCTTTCAAAATATGGGTTTCCAAGATTCCTCTATTGATGGCATTAACTCTTTACATTTTTTTCTTTCATATTTTTTTATTCATATATTTTCTTCCTTAATTTTCTTTATTTTTTTCCTAAAAAGATTCTTTACTTTGTTTTTAAATTTATAATTTAAATAAATTAATATACTCATCATCTAATAAACTACTTTATGCTACATTACATTTATATATAAAATAAACTACAATTAAATTATATAATATCTCCATTTATTTTTAATATTTTGAAGGAATAATATTATTAATAATATTTATTATCATAAATATATAATTTTAAAGAAACATTTTTATACTGCAAATATTTTTTCTCTTTTTAAAAATATAGCTGGATAATAAGATAAATAAATTTCATCTAAAATAACACCAATTATATAATTGTCTTTCTGAAAAAAAAAATATTAAAGTTTAAAATTAAAATTATATTAAATTAATATGAATTAATTTGTTCAACAAAATAATATATAAAATTAATATAAAAACTAAATTTTAAATAAAAATAAATCGTATTAAATGGATGTGTAAATTATATAAATATTCCCAAGGAATTTTTTAACATTATATAAATTTAACACATCCCGAATAACAAACGTGACTATCAAAATATTCCTGGACGTCCTGATAAATATTCCTACAAAACAAACATAACTATCTGAAGATGTCGAACATCTAAAATTTCAAGCATGTAAAATTTCAGACACCTATAGATACCAGACATCTACATTCCCAAAAAATAAACGACTTCTAATGTCATTTTTTCCAAAATCCTTCTAACTCATTCAACACACGAGAATATTGTTTTCAACAATTTTTCAAATGAATATCTATCCGAGGGTAACAAATATGAAAATTACCACACTTATCGAGATGTAAGGTGCAAAGTTATATACAATGCTAAGTTAAAGATTGATTTTTTTCCATTATGTTTATATGCATTTGTGCACCCAACTTGAAATCCTGGATCCACCACTGCAAGAAGGCTTTTTTTTAGTTTGGTTGTTTATATGTTTTAGTCTGTATATTGGTTAAGTATTTTTGTCAAAATTCGAAATGTTGATAAAAATGTCGAGTTCTCAATTTTACAAACATATTGATGGATATTTCGAGAAAAATCACAAAAATTGTAGATGTTCATGCAAATTTTTTGAATTAGTAAATAAGACTTTAATTGTAGATTCATTAGCCTATAATTGATATTTTTTACCGTCATATCTAAATATATAAGAAATATACTTATAGAAATGTCGTTGATGGACATGTCGACGGACATATCGACAAAAATCACGAAAATTGTGGATATCGATGTACATTTTTTGAATTAGTAAAAAAAGACTTTAATTATGCTATAATTGATCATTTTGACCATCATTTGAGAAATAAACTTATAGAAATGTCAGAGTAAAATTATGAAAATTAATGAAAAGTTAAAAAATAATTGGAGTGGAAATATGTTTGAGAATTGTTTAAATTTTATTGGAGTGTTGAATGGAGGATTGATTTAGAAACATGCTTGGAGGTGTGTAAAGAAGTTAAAAGACAATGAGAAATTTAGAAGCGATAAAATACAAATTGAATATATAATTTGAATGGTTGATTGCAATTGCAATTGCAATCTAAACTAATAACTTGTTGGGGATGTGAAAAGGAAAAAAATTTTAACAAAACAAAAAAAAAATGTTTGTGGTTGCTTGTGGTTGTCCCACACAAGTAGAAAAGGGGTTTATATTGGAAGACTACTAATGAGGCTTACAAAACATGTTTGGGGTAAATCCAACACATCTTATTACCATTTAGTTGGATGGATGAGCCCAACACATCTTTGTAGAGTTTGTGTGAAATTTGTCGATCGATGTAGGCCCCACCTCCTTCTTTCGACCATAATGGAATGGAAATACCATTTTCCTAAGCAAAATTTGTCCTTACTTCCCTTCCACCGAGTCCGAATCCTACAATTTGACAGCAAATTTTAATATAATCTGCATGTACTCGGTCCAATAACAAAATTTCAACATTATTATTTCCTCTGTATAAAAACTTATGTGGGTCCTTAATTTGGTGCCATCGCCATGGATGCCCGCCAGCAAGCTGAACACACCACAACCATTTTGATGCTTCCATGGGTTGGATATGGCCATCTCTCAGCTTACCTAGAGCTGGCCAAAGCCCTCTCAAGGAGAAACTTCCATATTTACTACTGTTCAACCCCTGTTAACATCGAATCCATTAAACCAAAGCTTACAATTCCTTGTTCTTCAATCCAATTTGTGGAGCTCCATCTCCCTTTTTCTGATGATTTGCCTCCCAATCTTCATACAACCAATGGCCTTCCCTCCCACCTCATGCCCGCCCTCCACCAAGCCTTCTCCGCGGCTGCCCCACTCTTTGAGGCAATTTTACAAACACTTTGCCCGCATCTTCTCATTTACGACTCTCTCCAACCATGGGCCCCGCAAATAGCCTCCTCCCTCAAAATCCCCGCCCTCAACTTCAATACCACAGGAGTTTCCGTCATCGCTCGAGCGCTCCACACCATTCACCACCCAGATTCTAAATTCCCACTCTCAGAAATCGTTCTACACAATTATTGGAAAGCCACGCACGCCACCGCCGATGGAGCCAACCCAGAAAAATTCCGCAGAGATCTAGAGGCGCTTCTGTGTTGCTTGCACTCTTCCTGCAATGCAATTCTGATCAATACTTTCAGAGAGCTCGAGGGGGAATACATCGATTACCTCTCCCTTCTCCTGAACAAAAAAGTCACCCCGATTGGTCCTTTGGTGTACGAACCGAATCAGGACGAGGAGCAAGATGAAGAATACAGAAGCATCAAAAACTGGCTCGACAAAAAGGAACCGTACTCCACCATTTTCGTCTCGTTCGGAAGCGAATATTTCCCATCAAACGAAGAAATGGAAGAAATAGCACGTGGGTTAGAAGAGAGTGGGGCAAATTTCATATGGGTTGTCAGATTTCACAAATTGGAAAACGGAAATGGGATTACCGAAGAGGGGCTTCTGGAGAGGGCGGGAGAGAGGGGGATGGTGATCCAGGGGTGGGCTCCGCAGGCGAGGATACTGAGACATGGGAGCATTGGGGGATTTGTGAGTCACTGTGGATGGAATTCGGTGATGGAGAGCATAATTTGTGGGGTGCCCGTAATTGGGGTTCCGATGGGTCTGGACCAGCCTTACAACGCCGGCCTCGTGGAAGAGGCCGGGGTGGGCGTGGAGGCCAAGCGAGATCCCGACGGCAAAATTCAAAGACACGAAGTTTCAAAGTTGATCAAACAAGTGGTGGTTGAGAAAACCAGGGACGACGTGAGGAAGAAAGTCGCGCAAATGAGTGAGATTTTGAGGAGGAAAGGAGACGAGAAGATTGATGAGATGGTGGCTCTAATTTCTCTCTTGCTCAAAGGGTGACAAACTTTGTTTGGGAAGAAATATGGCTTGAGAGAATTATGGCACCTGGCAAATAGTTTTCTGATATGTAATGAATAAAAATTTCTTTCATCATTGATATATGTCTATTAATTCAATCTCAATCTCGTATAGATAGAAATGTTCGATGTCAATAAAAATTTTATATAAAATTTTGAAATCATAAAAATTTATAGAAATTATTTAAATTAGTTAATGAAATTATAATTGTGATTTAACTCAGTTATAACTTTTTAATGGCTATCCCACATAAAAATAACGCATAAAAATAATATCAATATTTATATAAAAATGTAGATGTCGACAACAAATTTGGACAAACTAATAGCAAATATATAAATTTTGATGAAAATGGTTAATAGTAATTTTATTTTAATTTTTTTAGTAGATTTTTTTATGGGTTAAGTTGATATTAATGAGTGTATTTGAAAGTAAATATCTTTGAATTTAAATTCTTACCTTTTATATTGTACTAATCTTTTAAATAGATAAAAAAAAAATTATTAATTCCATAATTTTTAAAATAAAAATATAATCATATAGAAATTAGAACAAAATAACAAATAAAATAAAATAAATAACTTGAAACAGAGAGTAAATTGAATGTTTGAAATATAAATAAAGAAAGATGAAAGCATAGAGGAGAAAGGGTGAGAGAGGGTGAACTGAAAATAAGGAGATTTGAAGTTCGAAGCTTAAATAATAAAATAAAGAAAAAGAATTGTATTTTTTTCCTCACATTGACAAAGGTTGGTGAGCGGAAACTAGACTCGAATATTCTCGAGATACAAGAATCCTAATATTACAAGATTCATATTTAAAATTTTAATCTTAAAATGGGCTCATATGGATGTAACCTTTTAGAATTTTATAAATTTGCCTTTTTAAATATATATTTAATAAATAATTATGAAAAAAATCAAATATGAAGAATACAGGGATTTTTCAAATTCAAATATCCTTCTCTTTCAACTCTCCCTCTCTCTCTTCTAAGAAGTACATGCACACCCGACACACGTCAATTTAATTTGAGGACACGTTAATTTTTTATATTAAATATTATAAAACTATTTAATATTTAAATAAAAATTGACTTAAATAATTAAGAAAAAATAGACATAAGATATTTAAAGGTAAGAAAAACAGAGAGTTTATTTATAAAAGAATATTTTACTAAAATTTAAACAGATACCTTTAAATAATCTCATCTTTTAGTCCAGAAGAGAAAAATTGCCACTTGTTAGTCATGGAGGAGAGATTGCATGCATAAGAAATGCACTCTTTACGTTTCTTCTCTTTATTCTTGATCTTTGTATTATTTCTATTCTCCCTCTTCCAATTATCTCTTTTTCTTCTCTGTTAATTTTCTTCTTTCAACCTTTCCTCTCCTTCAACTTTTATTTTTCTTTCAAATCATTCTCTTCTTCCAACTCTTCTTAATTATTTCTGCTCCACATTTTTTTCTTTCGACCCTTCTACTTTTGACTCATTCGAAAGGTACAAACCAAAAGATTAAGCTTCCATGGAGGACATGTGTTGCATGGGTGGAGATGCTTCCATGGAGGTGGACTATGGGTAGCTGAAAACTTAAAAAGAAATGGAAACCTAATGCGTTGGTGGGCTGAAAGAGAAAAAGGTTGGAAGGAAATTACGCGTGTCGCCTACGTGTCCTAGGCGTGTCGTGAACGTGTCCTTAATTATTAAAAAGAAAAAATTCCGGACACGTGTTGGACAAGCAGGGCCGGATCCATGTGGGACGAGGGGCACGTGCCTCCGGATTTGGATTTAATACAATAATGCATATATATTTGAAACAGAAGTAGCTAATGGAATGGTGGTTTATTACCTAACTAGGCTTTGTGTCCCACCTCAGTGATCTTGATTCTTGCATTCAAATCTCCTCTCTGTTTTTTATTTTTTATTTTTAAATATTTTTGTCTACCTTATTCAGCCGATTTTTTGTTTTCTAAAGCTTTTTTCTTTTTTCTTTTTTTAGTACAAAGCTATTCTTTTCGTACTCCAGCATCGTTTGTACTAATCTTTATTTTAGTTTTTCAAATATATTTAACAAAATGTCTTTTTTTTATTGTTTTAATTGGGTAATTTTAACTTTTATATCTAATTATTTTTTATGTTTAATTACCTTTATATCAAGGTTTAAAATATCGATGTCGATGAAAATGTCGAGATCCCGATTTTAAAGACATATCAATGTCGATGGATATTAGGAAAAAAACATGAAAATTATGGATATTGATGCAAATTTTTTTAATTAATAAATAACATGAAAATTATGGATATTAGAAAAAAAACATGAAAATTATGGATATTGATGCAAATTTTTTTAATTAATAAATAAGATTTTAGTTGTAGTTAATTTGTCTATAATTAGTCATTTTTAACTATTATATCTAAATATATAAGTAATATACTTATAAAAATGTCGAAATAAAATCATGTATATATATATATGAAAATTGATTATGTTTTATTGATAATTTATAATCCAATCTAATTTTTAGTTACAGAGAAAATAAATATATATAAAGGATGAAGTGATTTTTTAAGAATTACATTTAGTTTAAAATTTAAATTTTTAATAATAATTAGTTAAAATGATTTATTTATTTATCTGTTTTAATATTTTGTTAGTTAAATACTTCAATTTAATTTTAAAGTTTGTTTTTATTTTTAAATCGATATTTTTTATAATGGATTCTGATTTTGTTAGGCTTTTAAGAGTTAAATTTAATTTTAATTTTGATTTTTTAATCAATTTTATTAAAAATTTACCTTCAAATCCAGTCAAAACCACCGCTTCAAATATCTAATTGCACTTATTTGGTTAATTTAGGTTACGATTCATCTCTCACATTGCTTCCTGTCATTTACAAAAATTCTAGAGCTACCTTTACAAAAAAAAAAATAATAATAATAATTCTAGAGAGTGCGAGAAGAAAGGAAAAAATGAAGAAAATTAAGTACCAAAACCCCAACCAAACAAACACTGTTTCTTCTCCTTCCTCTCTCTTCGTTGTTCGATTTTTTTTATTGTGTAAATCTCTCTCTCCTCCACGTCGATCTCTTGATTCCATATTCACAGATTGCGGGTGTTGTTTCTCTCTCTCTTCATATTTCTCTTCTTTCCCGCTGTCTCTTCTCCTTCTGAAAACCCTATTTTTCTTTTGAGTTTGCAGCCAATCTCACCATCAGATTCATAGTTTATGTTTTTCTCTACCCTATTTCCATAGATCATCTTACTGATTTTGTTTTTCTTCCTTAAAATTTCTTTCATCTATTGCCCTGTCTTTTAACTTTTTGTTTTACTTTCGGGTTACTCATGCGCTTGGTGGAAGGAAAATAGGAACCTTAAAAGACAAAAAAAAAAAAGAGTTGAGCGACATTTTAGTCGACTTGTCGTCGATGACATGTCGAAATATCGACGACATGGGAAAAAACGATTTCTCCCCCACTTGTGTCAAGGTGCTCGACACGTTGATATGGGGCTGGAAATTTAGAACACTGGTTTATATGAAACATATACTTTCAATAAAATTAAATTTCATATTCTTAATTTTAGATAAATGTTATAAATTTTTTCTTGCTATTCAATTTCTGAAAAATTCACTCATTAATTAAAAAATCCATAAAATTTCACTCATTTAATAAAAAATCAAGTTTCTTGATTAATGCATAAAATGAACTATTAAATAACTCTGTCAAAACCTACAAATTTAAGATTAAAAAAATCAACTCTAGTGTTGTTTTGATCTAAATCATATCAATTATTTCATTAAAAAAATATTTTTCTTATGAGAATATTTTTTTCAATAATTTTTCAAATAAAAGTCTATCGAAGGGTAAAATTTGCGACATATGTGAAAATTACAATAGTTGTCTAAGTGTGAGGTATAAATTGATATACATTACCAAGTTTAGGTAAAAAAAATTGCGACATATGTGAAAATTACAATAGTTGTCTAAGTGTAAGGTATAAATTGATATACATTACCAAGTTTAGGTAAAAAAAAATTGATACTTCTCCATATGTTTATATACATGTGTGCCCCTGACATCAAATCTTAGATCCGCCACTACAGACAAGGAAGCGTGTCCGAGCGTGCCGAAAATCACGTGTTGGTGCAGCTTCCTTGTCTCTCCTTCATTACATGAAACCATAATCTCTCTCTTTCTCTCCTATCGAAACTTGCAGCCCCCTTCCTCTCTCCTCCAGTGAGAGCAAGCGATGACACAAAACTCACAAAACCGACCAAATCTATGACTACCTCCACGGCTGTATGTAAGTTATAACTTAGTATAAATAGACAGTATATTCATTAGATCCCTAATAATAGTTTATTTCAAAATTATATATAAATCTCTCTATATACATATATACAATATATATGTATGTATATATATATATAGATAAACTAAAATTAAAATATTGTACATATTCATATAACAAATTGTTGTATATTTTTTTAATAACACGTAATATGCAAGTTATAACCTAGTATAAAGAGGTATAAACAGATGTTCATTACGTCACTAATAATAGTTGATTTCAAAAGTACACATAGCATATATGTTATAACCTAAGTATGTGTATACAATATTAACATAAAATTAAATTAAATATAAAAAAAAACAAGAACAAAATTGATTGGCATAATAAGAAATATATATAGATAAACTATATTTTAAAAATAATAATATTAAATTATACCCATGATTTGAATATTGTAATAAAATTGATGCAGTCACAACTTGAGAGGCTGATTTTGTGCTGAAACGGATCTTGTATTGCCGGAAACTGGAGTTGTTGGATGGAATTTCCTACACAAAATGAATAATAGTCACCAAAAATAGAAATTAATATAAGAAGAATTGAAGTGCAAAAAGAAAAAGAAAAAGAAATTGCATGCGAAGATGCAGGCTCCACCGACGTCGGAAAAAGTCGTATGAATGTAAATGAAAAACAAAAAAACAAAAACAAAAAACAAAAAACGAAAAGAAATAAAACTTCCACGAATGGACTTTATGGGATGGAAGCAGATTGAAAGAATGGTATTGAAATTGAGCGAAAAAAAGAAAAGTTTTGAAAAAGAGCAAGCAAATCT